CAGGCAGCCCAAGCACATCTGCAACTGCTATGGACCAGGAGCAACTGCTGCTTCTGACCTCCACTTTCTGCTCTGTTGAACAAGGATAACAAATAACAGTATTTTCAACACATTATCATGGAATCATAGAATGGTTTGGGTTGGAAAAGACCTTAAGATCATTCAGTTCCCACCCCCTGCCATGGGCAGGGACACATCACACTAGACCACGTTGCCCAAGGCTCTGTCCATTCTGGCCCTGAACACTGCCAGGGATGGAGAATTTACCACTACTTTGGGCACCCTGTGTCACTGCATCACCACCCTCACAAAATCATTCCTAATCCAAGACCACATGTAGAGGCATCTTTTCTCTGGGATCTCCAGCCCACATGGCTGCTTATTTCCCCCGTGTCCTAAGAGGAATGGGGGTAAATGAAGCCCCTCAGGCCTCTCTTCCCAGCTCATGGCAGATCGTGCTTTGCCTTTATCACCTGTGTGCTGTGTTGGTGGCGTTTCCACCACAACCACTGTGTCTGTATACGTATCTGTTTTGTAAGGCTTGCTTTTAAAGTAAGGCATCGCTGTTGTGACAATGATGCCCAAACACACAGGCTGTCCTAACTGCACCAGCAGAGCAAGCCCTTTATCCCAGGCTATGCTCTAGATAAGCACTCTCAGGCTGGGTGCACCACCCCTACCCTTTGCTGACTTGGCCATCTAAAGACAAGAGCTCCTCCTGTGCACACAGACTGTGTGAGCATCTGAATGGGGCGGCACAGTGGTGTGGATGAAGTGCTCTGATGTGATTCCTGTGGGGCTTGAAACAATTTCCTGGTGAAGTTTCATATACACTTGAGTCATGTCTGCCCTTTGCTCTGGAAGCCTCCTGCTTTGACCTCAGCAGGCAGAAGAAAAGACCAAGTGAGAAATTCCCCCCCACTTCTGCTTTTACCCTTGAAGTGCAGCTTTTACAGTGTGGCTGGCTATACAGTATTTTTTGTTTTCAATCTTCAACTCCTGTACAAATATTCCAGGTCATGCTCCCAGCTCCTCATCAGAGGTTTGTGCCAACTTCTGATCAATCAGATAACATGGCTATTATACTTTCTGCCCTGCTGCTTCATGGTATGCGATAGGACATTAGTCAAAACAGTCTCTTCCAGGTACCTGCTGTTTCAGGAATGACCTACCTACAAATATCTGTTACTTGCAGATTTGCTGCTGTATTTTGCTGAAGAATCTCTCAAATGAAGTGTCAGGGCAATGCGACTGATGATGTAGTATGTGTTTCCATCTGTGCAGAGATGACAGGACTGACTGCAGCTGTAAGTCAAGGTGATACCAGGAACTGCAAAAAAGATCCCTGCTTTCTCCCAGAGACACTCCTTATATCCAGCCCTTTTTGCCACAGGGGAAAGCACTGCCCTTTTCCTTGGAGGATGCTGGTGAAGATGTGCTCCTAAGTGCCTTTTGCACCCGACATTCAGCAATGTGCAGTAGCTGGCTGAAGCTCTGGGGGACTGCCTGAACTGTCTGCTCACACATGGTGCCAGTGACCCATACCTGCTGGAGGCTGTGGTGTTGCCTGGAGGGAAGGAGCAAGCTTGGAGGGAAGAGGGCTCTTGCAGCATGAAGCCTGTGCTCTGTTTCTCCCTGCATCTCTCTCTGTGGTTTCCCAGGCAGAATTCCAGGTGTCTGTATGTCTTTCATCTGTCTAGGCCCCAGAGAAACACCTAAGCCTTAAACTCCTTAGGAAAGAACCAGGGGAAAGAAAACCCCTATTTCAGATGGCTTCTCTCTTAGAAGGTCTCAAATCATGCTTGTGCCACACACATACTTTCTACAGCAGCCCCTTATGGCCAGTTCCCTCAGGCACAGGTGAGAGGAGAGCAGAACAGTTTCAACCCTGTGTCTTTCCATTCTTTGTCCAAAGAACAAGAGCATTCAAGAGAGAGAGGGTTCTGGTGTGATGGAAAAGCCACCCTAATGGGGAGAGAAATGGGGACCACCTGCAGTTGTGGCCTAACAACAACGTCATTCATATGGCCTGTTCACGGCCCCTTGCTGCCCAGCCGCTCCAGAACCTCAGCCGAACAGGAGAGGTCCTGCCTGTTCAGGGTGTTCTGGATCAAAGCACAAGGCACATTAGGGAGGAAGGAGCTGGCCCCATGCAAGCTGGATCCTTGTAATACTTCAGAAGGCAATCAGCACGTCGGAGCAATGGGCAGCAGCCAGTGCCTGCGTGTGCCTGGCACAGGACCAAGTGGGCAAAGACAAGCTCTATCTACTGAGTAAACGGTGAGCAACCTCCTGTGAGATCTTGGCAGCTGGAGGTATTCTGTGAAATCACAGCTTCCGCTGTTTGTTTTGTGTGTAGCTGGGGTTTGTCCTGCTGCCATTGGTGGGGGGAAGCTGCTTGGTTTGTGTGAACAAAGGCAGTTGGGAAGCCTGGGATGGTTGGATAGATCCCGGCACTTCCACAGTCTTGTGAGCTAAGCATGCCCAGCCACCTGGCCACTCTTCCCATGCCACACAGACATCAGTAGCAGAGCTGCGATTTCACTCAGCTGTGTCCCAGCCTGAAAGGCTGAAGTATTCCTTCAGAAGCTTCCAGACAGTGCAGAAATTAAACAAGGGGAGTTCAAGTTACATCTAAGGAAGAAGTTCTTTATTGTGAAGGTGGTGAGGCACTGGCACGGGTTCCCCAAAGAAGTGGTGAATGCTCCATCCCTGGCAGTGTTCAGGGCCAGAATGGACAGAGCCTTGGGTGACATGGTCTAGTGGGAAGCATCCCTGCCCATGGCAGGGGGTTGGAACTGGGTGATCTTAAGGTCCTTTCCAGTCCAAACCAGGCTGTGATTCTATTCAATGAATAAAGACTTCCAGGTAATATGGCTCCATGCGAACACCCTGCACACTTGTGCTGACAGAATAGTATAGTCTGGTACAATAAGCAGTTTTGCCTTTCCTATATCATGGCTTTTGTTTTCCTCAAAGCATTCAGACTCCTGGGAGGTGCAGACTTGGCAGTTCTAAATACCATGATGGCACACAGGGCAAGTGCAGCTCTGGTGTGTTTCTCGTCTGTGGGATTTCTGCCTTCATCCTGAGTAGTTTTGTTGTGTCTGGGTTATGCTCTGCTGTGGGGAGGCCTGAACACCCAGACACCAGAACTTTGGCATTATGCCTGGTAGCAGAGACGAAACTTGAGTGAACATATATTTTCCCAAACCTGACTTCACAGTTTTCCAAAAAACAATTACATATATATTATATTACAGTATTTATATGTATGTATATACATACACACACACACACTTGCTTACCCTGCTGCAAAGCCACATGTTTGCTAAAGTGAGCCTGCTCTGGATTTAGCAAGAGGAAATCAGATGTGTCAGCTTTGACTTGCATATCGAGGATGCTGTCAGCTAATGCCTTTCAGTTCAAATCTGTCCTATCACAAAATTAATTACAAGAGGGGCCTCACAGAAGCATTTTGTTATCATTATTCTGACAGGAAGCTTTGAATGGGGCTCAAGAAAAGGTGGTGCTTAAAAAGCACCTTGTTTGAATTCCTGCCAACTGCATATTATCGATACAGGACTAAGATGTGTCCTGAAGATGCATTTATGGCATGTGATGGAAATGCTGCCCCTCAGAGATGGAGTTTGCATGGCTATACATACACATATCCATGACTGTACCCTTAAACTGTCTGGGTGTCATGGTTTAAGCCACGACACTGGGACTCTAATTAAAATTTATTGCAATGGCTGCAGGTCAAATTAAACACCTCCAAGTGCTCAAAGAGCCTTCCAAGCCAAGACCTTAGCTGGCATCAACAGAACAGGGACTCCCTCCCTGTTATGTCACAAACATAACGGGGGGGGGCTGCTCTTTGGTGTCTAACTGGAGAGATATCCAGGACATTCCCAGCAAAATCCACATCTGATGCACACTTCCCACCATTCTGAGAAGCCTATGGCTTCATATTTGTTGAAACCATCAAGACCTTCACTGTGGCGTGAAACTTGAAAAGAAACTGTGTCAAGCATATTTAAATACTACTGCTGGATGCACTGATATTATTTTAATCTGGTGAATTGTCTTATACACTCAAAAAATACACTTTCAGGAAACATAGATTCTAACTTGGATTTAGTAAATACATTTGGCTGAGTCAAGGCCTAGGACGGGCTGACTTTTTTTTATTTTTGTTTCATTTTGTTTTTATATAATTTGATTTCTTTTTAAATAAACACTTTGGATTTTTTCCTTTTTGAATGTGTTTGTGGTGAAAACAGCTAGGATTAGATGCTGAAAAAGGAAATGTTTTGTTTCAACACCAAATAAAGTCTTTATGAGTTTTCCTTTCACCCTGTTGATGCACAACACAGTATTTTCTTCGGGTTTATTTTTGTTCTTCCTAAGAAAAGTGCCCCTCTCAACCTAGCTTTTGAAATTTATCTTCTAAATATATCTATTCTGCTCAGCTGAAAGTGGACTGAGACGTAGGGCTAGTTCTGCTTGGTAAAGCAGTCAGCTGCATCTAAGAGCCAGCAAGTTTCTGTGGCCTGCTTGCTTCAAAGAGAAGGCTTAAGTAGCTGGTCTTGTTGATCTTGTGTGATTTGGAGCTGGGTAAAAAGAGGGTTAAGCTGGCTCCCTATTAATGCAGCATACACCCTGTCTTTGTATACTAACTACTGGCAGCTCTCTGGGGTTTAGCAAAAATGGAAGATTTTGGTTCCTTCATTGGGCTCAGGAAACAGTGCACCACTGATCCAGCTTCATGTACCAGCTTCATGTGTAGACTGGAAAGATTTCCTGAGTTTTACTTTCTGTCTGGGAGGGTGAAGAGTGCTTTTTAGAACCTGCAGAAAGAATGCCAGGCTTTGCATATCCTGTTGGCAAAAGAACAAAGCTAACTTGGAAGCTATGCATCTGCATTGCTCCCTTCCTATTTGGTTTTGCTTTCTATACTGTCAAGGTAATTTTGAGTGCAACAAAATGGAGCAAACCCTCTGGCTCAGAACTGACAGAAGGCAGCAGCACAGAGCCTCAACTGCCAGGATGAATTCTGCCAGTTGCAGAAGTCAGGACCCACCTCCCCAGTGGTAAAATTAAACCTAAGTTACTACGTCCCGCAGGTGTTGATGGAAGGCACAAACCACCTGGCAAACCGCAGGCCTTGGAAGAGGTACAAACTAAACGCAGACAGGAAATCCCCCACCCAGCCAGGACCTGGAAGTTGCCTGCACCCAAAGAAGAAGTAACGGGCGATGGTTTACTTTAGGTTGGTTATTTGCAAATGACTGGATGTGAGTGACGTTAGTTTCCTGAGCTTTGCAGTAATGCTATCAAATGAGTAAAACACCAGCCCTTGCTATCTCCTCTGACCAGCTTCCTCTAACTGGTAGGTTCTCTCCTCTCTGAAGACCTGATCCTGATCTCTTTGAATCATGATGTGGGTGTCAAAGAAGCAATTCTGGCAGCCAGTATCTCCCAGTGAAGCTGGGTCACAGTCAGGGCTGGCCAAGGGATAAGGAAAGGTAATTATGTCCATGAGTGGCAAGGAAGTAAAAAGTCTTTGTTCTCATCTTTACTATTCCTTCACAAAGACCCAAAAGCTGACAAAGATTATAGGGCAACAGAGAGAGGTTCATTTTTTACAGTTGTAAACATAGCCACAAGGAGGAAGCTGGCTGGGACACAGTCCCATACTTTTTTCCCTGGCATCCCATTTCACCTGAATCTTTGCTGGAGTAACACATCTTCTCTGAAATACAACCAAGTGACAGTTTTTCATTCCCTTACTCACACACCTCCCTGACCCAGCATGCCCTTGTAAGTTCAGACTGGTCTCAGGTAACTCTGTGTGTATTTATCTTGCATAAGCAATCGATCACTTACGTCTTCTGTTTTATGGATCTTCTCCCATCCGACACCTGGCTCCATTACAGTTTGTTGTATTCCATGATGACCATGATGTAGAGACTCTACTACAGCTCCCAGCTCCTGCATCAGCACCAACACCCATGAGGTAGGCACTGCAACAGAAAGGGAAGAACTGTGTAACTACAATGGCCAGTTACTCCTTTCAGTCTCCAGGTATGCTTTTGTTGGAAGTGGGAACTAATTTTAACTGTCTGCTGTCAAAGATGGACTGGGATGGGTGAACCTCAGAGTCCTCTGGCTGGTGCTACTGATGGGACAGAAAACTGATCAGAGAGACACCAAGTATACACATTTCACATGTCATTTTTTCAGCACAGACATCACTCTCTATGAATTAAAGCAAAAGAATAATTCAAGGCCTCTGGAGACAAAGGCTCACAAAGTGGTGAGGAGCTATCTTCCTACAAGAGGTATGACCTTGGTCTTGTTATCTAATTGTTGGTGTACCCAAGGAAGCATATTTACACTGTAAAGTGTTCCTTGTATATCAATGGGTCTATGCAAGGCGATTAATATGTTTAAAGCTTACCAAATAAACTCCAAAGCAGGAGGACTTTTTGTTGGTACGGAAGGGCTGGCTGCGAGTGGCAGCTCTGAATGCCACCTGCTAATCCTTTCCTTCCTGCCATCAGGGCTCTCCCTGTGGTGGAGGCGGGGGCGGGGGGGGGGGGGGGGCTTCTCCCGTCTTTGTTTCCCAGCAGAACATTCTCAGAAATCACACAAAAGCTCTAGAAAAAAAACCATAAATCCTGCCAAAAGAGTCTGGAGCAGCAGGTCTCAAAGCAGAGCCTGAAGAGTTACCCAACCCGCAAAAGCAGTGCCATGAGTAAACAGGGTTTCACAGAGTGGGTTGCTGTTTGTTACCTCTCAGTTAGCAAGACTCCTTTCAGAAGCAGGACTACTCATATCTGATGAGGCCAGCACCTCAGGAGCACCTCTGGCCAGATATGCACTACATAGTCTGAGCAGAAGCAAGTGGGAAAGGACTCTAGAAGACAAGAGGCCTTTGGGAAATTATCCAGGCATGGAGCAGAGGCTCTCTTATAGCCTGAGCCAGCTGTGGGGCTTCTCAAGGCAGAGCAGCCACCAGATGGAATGCAAGGCACTCAGCACATGAGGATGCCCATGAGTTATCCCATGGCCTACCTAACCCATTCCCACAGTATTTCCTATTGTCAAGTGTCAGGGTGCTGGGCACATCTTCGTTTAACTGGAGCCCCAGCACAATTACAGAAACATGTCTCTCTTGGAAACATAACTGACCCTTTGTAACTGACACACCATGAAGGTGAAATTAAGAAAAGCAGCCATGCATTGCAAATATTTGGGCACTTCCCTCTTGGCATATAATTGCTTGTTTTGTGACCTAAACCCCAGTATTCCTTACAGCCCTTCACAAGGGTACAGGTTACTTAAACTAGTTGTAGATGCTTTGATCCTTTCTGCAGTAAGGCAGTGCTACATGGATCAACCAAATGTGACCTAACTCTTGATGCTGCCACCTTGAGCTATTCCTCATGTGACCTCCCAAGTCCTTGTAGTTGCTGTGGGCACACCTTATCAGATCCATCTATTGCAGACTTTAAAGAGGTCCCTCCCTAGTGCAGGGGATGCTTGAGAAATGGAGGATACCAGGCATGCTGGGTTGTGTCATCTGCCCTTGATGAGGGAATGAGGGAAGGCTGCCTTGGCAGTACTTTTCCACTTGCTTTCCTACCAGGGAGCAGGTAACCAGGCTGTTATGACCTGTTTGAACTTTGGTTAGGCTGATCCTTGCAGAGCCAGAGGTCAGATTTGGCTTGGAATACCTCAGTGGTTTGGTGATGTTAATGCATCATGTGTTATTTTCAGATAATAAGAGTTCTCAGGTGTTCCTTTTTTCCAGAAAGCACCTGCAGGTGAATTGGAATGGACCTAGATTCAATAACTTGTGTTAATAGTCACCGGAGATGTCTGGAAAACATGAAAGTTAAAGTCTGTGGAGCCTCTTTTCATTCAGCAGTGACTGTAAAACATTTCCCACGGTCAGATAGGAGCAAAACTCCAGAGCTGTCAATTACCCACAGAAAGGGAATCCTAAAGAACATAAACTTTCTGTTTTGGCAATACAATTGCTTTGTTGTCATAACAGTGTGTTTCATTTTTACAGTGGTGGAAATATTTGTCTGTCAAAAAGTAGCAATGATACACTGCATTTAAGATCCAAGACAGTATTAAACGTAACTGAAAAGCAAACTGTAACACAAAGAAATTCATGGAAATGACAGTCTTTGGAGGTAGAATGAGGGAAGTGGAACAGTGCCCATGAACAGGAAACCTGAAGAGAAGGAAGAATACCCCGCACCAGAGAATGACTGGGAAACCAAGAGGCTGGCTGATGAGGAGATGACCAGTCCTGGTCATCACAGGGCACACACACACCATGACATGAAACGCTCCTGGAGCAAGTTCGCAGCCCAGCATATGTCTCAACTTCCTGCCCCAGGAAAGCATTTTGCCTTGAGGAAGTGTTTGTGCATCTCAAAGGGTAAAGACTGGAGAAGAAAATGTCTTTTTTTTTTGCCTTTTCTGTCCAGAAGACAAGCTAGAGCTGATGTACCAGGAGCAACGGTTCAACTTCTGTGTGTGGCAACAGGTCTGGGGAGAGATAAGGGAGTGGTGGAAATGGAGAACTGCTCTGCTGGAAGGGCTGTCTCTGGAGAGAGCAGGCAGGATCCTTCTTGTCTTGTTACAGTGGGAAGAGGAAAACAGACAGAGGGGACTGAGGATTCCCTAAGAAAGGTGCAGATCTACAGAAGGAACTGGAAGAGGAGCAGGAAGCAGTGAAAGGCCAGTGCTATGCTGAGGCCTTCCCTCAGGACCTTGCTCCTGAGATTTTCTACAGGAATAGTTTTGATTTCTAGTGGGCAGAGCTGTCTTAGGTGATGTGGGAGCAAAGTGGGACTTGGATTTCAAGCAGCTGGAACAGTGAATGGCATTGCTCAGTTGATATAGCTGCAGATTGTCTTGTGGCTGCTGACAGCTACCTTAGTTCCCCTGGTGTCCGCACTGGGCTGGATAGACTGCAACAGCAGAACAACTGAGGGAACCTCTACCCTCAAGCCATGGGTGGAATGGGAGGAACTCCCACCCAGCTTGAGATCACTGATTGACCAGGCTTCATTGTGCACATTTCATTGCCCAGGACATCAAAGATGTATTGAGGTTTTTTGGACCATGACTTATTGGAAAGAGCTACTCAGGTTTTGATCTGAGGCAAAAGAAACCTGGAAAAGGCTCCTCTTTTTAGAGATTGTAGGATTTCTGGTCTTTTAAAGCCTGTATTCCCATTTGAGCCTCTTCTGTAGTTTTATTATTAAAAACATACAGTTTATTCTACAGAGGAATTCCCCCCTTCTCCTGCCTCAGTAATAAGGTAACGTATAAGCAAAAGCGCCTCCAAAAAAAACCACCTGAAACAGACTTCCCTACGTGGCTTCTTCTCCAGAATTATACTTCCATCACTATTTTCTCCTCTCATTTTCCTGTGTGCTACTTGCTACATTTTTTGTTCCAGTGAGATCCCTATGTGGCAACTGCTAATGCACATAATCTGACTGTGACTGCCCTAGGAGCAAGTGAGCCTGCATGGGCGAGAAGGGAAACCACTGATCTGGCAAAGTGCAAACTGATAAATCCAGTCAAAATCCTCTCCTTTCCTGACTGGTGATGCATTACACTGGCAAACTGGCCTTCACTGTGGGTGGCAGAAACCTGCTTTAAGAAGGTTTTAAAACACCAGAGGGCACAGCATTTGGGCTAACGTGGCAGAGTCGCATTTGCTCATGACTCAGTGCCCCTGATGTCAACTCTGCTGCTGGCACAGCAAGAGGGAAAAAGAAGTGAGGCAATTTCTAACTCAAAATGGGTGGGCTGTCACACAACAAACTCTACGAAGGCAGCAGGGTCCTGTCTCCCTGACCACTTCCTCATTAACTACTCCTCAGAAAACAACTGGGAACAAATCCTCTTTCCCACCCCAGGTACAAGTCTCTCTGCAGGGCTTCATCATGCTTATGAGATGGTGAAAGACCTCTGTACTTAGACAGGGAGGTATCCAGCCTGAGACAGAGAAGAATATCTTGTTGGAAGTATTTTAGCATTGGGGTGGTTACTAGAGGAAGGCTTCATGTGTGAGTGTGTTGTCTCTTCCCTACTGAATGCAGAAATGTTTGCATCTTATTCTGTCCTGTGTCCAGAATGAGTGATGCTATATTTATTTCAGGTGGCCTTTAGGGACACATGTGGCTGTGCCTCAGACTCTCCACAGATACAACTTGCCCCTTAGCAGGCCATGCCACTGTGCTTGCATAGATGGTTTCTCCTACTGCTGGCTGCTTTCCAGGGCTGTGTCGGTGCCTATTCTACACCAGGCATATCTCAAGACAAAAAAAAATGACAATGCTGGTTCCTCTATCAGGGTGCTTTGAGTCTGCAACTGCTTTTATTTAAGACTAAGCTCAGCCCCTGGAGTAATGAGTCATAGAGTCACAGAATCACAGAATGGTTTGTATTGGAAAGGACCTTAAGATCATCCAGTTCCAACCCACCTGCCACAGGTAGGGACACCTCACACTAGACCATGTCGCCCAAGGCTCTGTCCATTCTGGCCCCGAACACTGCCAGGGATGGAGCATTTACCACGTCTTTGGGCAACCTGTGTCAGTGCCTCACCACCCTCACGATAAAGAACTTCTTCCTTAGATCTAACCTGAACTTCCCCTATTTAAGTTTGAACCCATTACCCCTTATCCTATCACTACAGTCCCTGATGAAGAGTCCCTGATGACTGCATGCCAGTTCAAGGGAAACAGAACTTCTAAAGTACCTCCTTTTTCTCTTGTACCCCAGAGGTTACAGACTTCTGTTGTTATCCTTACACCCAGCTATTTCCCTTCTCCCTTTTCCAAGAAGCAGCAATTTCTTTCCTGCATTGGCATATCCTCTGCAGCTTGGAGGCAGCATCAAAGGAAACAGCAAGTTTTAGCAAAGAAACCAGCAAGCTGTGGCCTGTCCTATAGGAATGCCATGGCAGGCAGAGGGAGCACGGGAGGCACAGGGCACTGATCTGTCTGGCTGTGATTTAGAGAGCTGCAGAAGCTAAAATGCACCTGTTTTATTGGAGGTGTGTTTGCATGGAGGATCAGATCCTGGCTTACTCTGCTAAAACCGTAAAGTGGAGCAGCTTCTCTGGAACAGCTCCTGGATGGGCTTGTCCAAACAGCAGCAGGGGAACATCAAAAGGTGCAGCGATCACCCGCAGATAAACACCCCAACTGTCTGATCCTGAGCTATCCCCCAGGCACAGCTGAATAGTTTGTCTGCCTGTGATGATCTCTCTACAGCTCCCCCTTATACTGGAGCCTCCTTCCATGGCAATTGCTTAATGCACATGGTGAAGGGCTGTCTTCTTGACTAGCCAGAGAAGAAGGCTTGGTATCTAAAGGATAGTTACTTGGTAGATAATCCTAGCATGAAGCCCTTTGAACAGAAGAAGGAATGAGAACACAGGCTTGGGTTAGTGCTACAGCGAGAAGTCCCCGCTCCAGTGACCCAGCTCCAGTGGGAAGTGTGTTTGCATCAACCATCTTTCAGTAATTATAGCAACAGATGAGTCAAGATCAAAGTGTGTTTGTGAATGATGCGGTGAAGTCAATCTATGTAAATCTGAGCTTTTTTATCTCTGGATCTGTCTTTAATGCTGACTTCTGTCCGGCTTTAACCTGCCCTGGGAAAACATCTCAGCTCCCAGTGCTGCGGCACTGGTCTGGACCCTGATTGCTGCCTGGCTTCCCTTTGCTCCCCTCCTCACCCTGTGCACAGCATGGCTCCAGGGGGACAGCAGCCACTCGTCTGTGGGGCCTGATCCCTGGAGTTCTTCCCAATGCAGAACGGCACATTTGCTGTCACTGTGAGCCAACACAGCCAGGTGCCCAGGTGCTTTGTGCTGACATGCTACCATGCTGCTGGTAGTTGCTACTTCCCAGGGTCTGCTGCTCCCATGGTCAGCACCCAGCCGGCAGCTGCTCCTGACCAAGTGCTCCATAGGTGTTTTCTGATCCAACTTCTCCTAGCCACCAGGCTAGACTCCAGAGAGTGTTTGACAGGAAGGCCCCTTGCTTCAGGGTGACACAGGTGACAGCACATGGAGAGTGCACCATTGGCCCACCCTTTGAATAAATCCCATGAACGCCCTTCATCAAGGCTAAATCTGTTTCATCTTCTTGCTGTCACGTATCTTCCTATCAGTTTCTATCATGTGTTTATCCTGTGTTTTCTAATTCGTTAATTACCTTGCCCATGATGCAAAGCTCCAGTTGTTACCCACACCAGGTGATCTCCTTATGCCATCAATTTGTAAGCACTCCTTTGGGGTATCTCCTTTCTGCGGAGCCTACTCTGGACAGCACCACACACATCTGGGGAGCTCCCTTCCAAGTCCCTGAATCACTGCAATTCTCCTCTTCCTCAGTTTAGTTCCCAGCACTTTCACAGGCTTGCTGAGGTCCCTTTCATTTGCACTACTGCAATCAAATACTTCTTTTTTTCTTCTTCGTCTTTGTAACATGGCTTTTGCTACGACTCTCTGCATGTGAAGAGCAGGAGAATTCTTGGTGTTAGCTTAGAACACAGTCCTGCCAGAGGAGTAACTTGTTGGGTGAGAGTGCTAACAAGAACATCAACTGTCCTTGCCTCAGAAGCCAAACACCAGGGACTTGCTCTGAAATGTCACCTGCAGGGAAGAGAAGTGAATGCCTTCTGGGGCCACGGCGAGAAAGGATTGTGCTGATCAGTGGCTTGATCCGCTTTGTCACTTGTGTCATGGGTATTCACCTGCCTCACCTCATGCTGCAGCATGTAGGGGATGGTTGGTTCTCCAACAGAGGTTAGAGGAAATGAGGCAGGGAGAGGTTTTCTAAATGTGAGAAACAAAGGAAGAGAAGTTACTCCACATATTGGTCTCTCGTGTGGTTGCATGCTGGCTCCAGACAGATTTCCTGCACAGTTCCTGGCTAAAGCTGTTTGAGTCACAAGCAGCAGAATACAGAGGGAAGGCCGGGGTGGCTAGGGGTTAGGTGAAGAGAATGGATCTTGTTCTAGAAAGCCTTTCCCAGATGTCCCTGAGCCAGTCTTGATTTCCCTTGAGAATCTCTGTTGTTTTCATTTGATGTTTCCAAAAGTACTCAGTGCCTTCTGCAGTTACCATGTGGCAAGGATGACCACATTGGGTAGAGAGCTGTCACCTGGGACCAGGGACTGATACCATCTATGCACAGGATTTCCTAAATCACATCCATCATCTAGAGTTTTCATTGCTTATGCTGAGATGCTGTGTTGCTCCTACATGCTTATTTCTCAATAGAGTGGAGAGGTTTAATTATTGGGTTGCAAAGCTCCCAAAGGGTCTTACGGAAATTGAACTGTAAGAGCCAAGTATGATGTAGTGTGTGTCGTGTAGTGATGTAGATAAGTACTGGGACTCCTTAAACCGGGATAGGTTGTTATCTGCCCATTTGCTGCAATCCCAGGGAAGTCTGTCCCCAAAACCAGCTGCCCAACATGCATGCGTTTTGGTTGCTATCATCAAAGTCTACAAGATGAACAGGCAATTCATTATGATATAGGGTAGCGCTTTGAATGTTATAATCTGAGCTTCTTAAAAGCTTAATCTTTCTGTCCCTGGGATCACATCTTCCTCATGAGAAACAATTACAGGATCCTGTGGTAAAACGCTGGATTATTATTAATGAAACCTGCACTGTCTCAGAGTTTTCATTGACTCAAGTGTTCAAACAGATGCCTGACTTAAAATACGTGGGCACTCTCATTCCTGCCTCAGGAGCTACCAATGCTTTTCACAGAATGCCAATAAATACGACCTGTTAAAAGCATGTTTGATTATTTATTAACCTCAGTTATGTCCTACTCAAAATCACTCATCAGAAAGTGCTCAGCACTTAATGCAGCCCTGAAACTAAGTTGGGTGTTAGCTACATCTTTCTTTTCGTTAAGTTTTTCAGGAAGAAATGTCTGGATTTTGTCAGTGCAACAGCAATCCGTAGATTTTTGTTTTTCTCTGAGCCACATTCAGTTGGGGTCTGTAATATCTGGAACCATTTTTGCTAAAAATGTGAAGACAGGAGCCAAGCTTTGACATTTGTAGACTGAACTTAACTATCAGGATGCTTTCATGGTGGCCCTTGGTGGTAAGACACTTCTGTCAAGCTGTATATAAGCTTACAGTTGAAATAAAATGCTCCAACAGTTTATGTGGTAGGGACACAACTTCCTGGCTCAAATTATAGAGACCACATAGCTGAGTCTTTTGCCCCATACACAGAAGACAAAGGGAGGTTTGCTGATCATTTGGAGGAAACTGGGGTTTGATATTATGTGTCTGTTCTCTTATGCTACTCTTCCAACTCTCCAGTGCAAGCTGTGAGGTTTCAGGACCATGCCCTGTCTTTGCTACCTGTGCATACAAACAGGATGCAGCTGAATCTAAGTTCCTGCATGGAGACTCCCACCACTCTCGCAGTACTGGTCAAATCTTCTGGGATGCGTGCTGGAGCTGGTGCAGGTGCTTGCATGAAAAGGAGCAGACATGCCTGGATTTGGTGCTCTGGGCCTTCCTTGCTGTACCTCATCTTCCTGGGAGAAGGACCAAGGGGAGCAAAGGTGCCAGTTGCTGCCAATGGCTATGAATGACTTTGTGTAAGTCACATCTGCTGCCCTGCTAAGTGTCATGATCCAGGAATGCAGCTACTGCTCAGGCAGTTGCCAGGTGGCCAAAGCAACTGCAGGTGTGTATCTTTTTATGTGTTTATATATGTAAATGGAGTCAAAGTCTCAAGTGATTAAGTCATGCAATGTAAAGCATGTGACAGTGGTTAAGAAATAGCGAAGGGCAAACAAGGGTGACAGGAGGAAAGCATTTCATAGTGGCAGCTGTGAGCTAAATCATGTTGAAATTGGGTAACCTGGATTTTTTTAGGGGAGAGGTTGGAAAGGAAGAGCGTAGCACTGGGAGAAGAGCTTATTTTTTTATCTCTGGAAAGGGTCCTGAGCCTTTCTTTGTAAAGGGCTTGAGCCCTGACTTTTATTTATGTCTCCTACTCCTCTTCCTCTGCTTCTCATCCTCCCTTTCCCTCTTCCTCTTTCTTTCCCTCTCCCTCTCCCTTCCCCTCTGCCTCTCCTCATCCCCAGTTATCCAGCTGTTTAGTAGACATACAATGCCCAGTAGTTTACTCTTGGCTTCTCCGTGGCACAGGAAAAAAGGCAGAGTGGTGAATGAAATGGACTTATGGATGAGACTCTGTCTGCTAGACTCACATTGGATCACATGGGAAACCTTATGCTGAGTGGAAAATGCCCACTTTAATGGCAACTGGATTTGAGTCCATAATTAACCACAGTCATCACATGTCTGATTTGCAGTTGTGAGCACAAACAAATGACTTGTCCATGCACTGACTGTGCTTCACATTAAATGCTCCTGTGTCCAGGGGGTTTTAAAAACCCACAGAAAACTGTATTTAGCAACACTGGTCTGATCCTCATGGAGATGAGTAGGAGTTGCTGTACTAGGAGAGCTAGACTGTACCCTTCCACACAAACCAGCTCAGTGGCAGACATCAAATGATGTTGTTCCTCAGCAGCCTACTGATGTTATCATTGTTTCTTTGAGCAGTTAGAAAGAACAAGATCCTACAATGACAAACCACAACATTTGTTGTGGTACATAAAGACATGTAAAAAAAGGAACCTTCCCAAATATATATATATATATATATTTCACATCCTTTTTGTTTTTCGTGGACCAAGCACCTTACAGATAATTTGCTCATGACCTGCCAAACAAAAGGTACCAGGGTCCAGCATGGAAGACAGACATAAAATAGCTAAAAATCAAATTTAGAGAGGAGAAGTGCGCTATTAAAAAATAATCATTAACTTGCACACTAAGGCAGCATCACACTTACTGAGCTTTGAGGCATACAACTCCAGGGAACAATGAAAAGCTGTGTCTTGTTGCACTAGGAATTACTTTCCGTTCCTGTATTCCTACCTAAAGCCTAAAATACATATTAAGTCTAAATAAAGGTGAATCTAAATAAAAGTGCTCCCTGACCTCACTGGATGTTGCACAGATGTGGAACAAGGGGAGGAAAGGTCATTCTGTCTATATTTCAAGTTTACTCTTACACTAACACCACATTTTACACACACAGCACTGATGGATGTAAATGTTTACCTAAATGTTGAGGTTTGATTGAAGGTATTTGCTTCAACAAGCCATATCGGTTTGTCATTTCCTTGCTAGATACCTTTGGCAGGTCTCCCCTAGAAGCCACCCTAGACATAGAAAGAGGCTGCGAGGGTTGAGCAATTTGCTCTATAGACTTCTATGCCCTGTCATCACAAGGCCATATGGTTCCATTCAATTACCAAGTGTGTCCCTTTGCACTGCTTGTTGGCTTTTGCAGAGTTGTTAGACAGAGGGGGAAAGTATTTTTTTTCCATAGGTGCCGTCTCTGTTATTCCACTGTGGATTTCCCCAGCTCCTTGGTGTCAAACCTCCTGGCAGCACTGCTGTGTCGGTCCTGCTGGTTTGTCCTGTTATCTTGAGTGCCGTGAGCCACATCAAATACTGGCACTCCAAGTGCCATGGGGATTGTGCTGCCTGTTTACTCCCTGCTGGGACTCAGCTCACTGGAGGAAGATGATCCCCTAAGAAGATGTTGCTGCACTGATGAACAATGGGAAGGTTCTCCATAAACCATATGGGGTTAACGTGGGGAGCATAGTGATTTTGGACTGACACCACCAGTGTAGAGGACACCACAGCCCCACTGGTACTGGCCACACATGAATTTGTAGAAATCAGCTTTAAGTCTGAGACTAGAAACACCCATGTAACCATACAGAAGTGAAGTTCTACGCCCACATTTGCACCACCAGGTGTGGCTGCCCTCTTTTCATGGTCATCAGAAGACCTACAGACTTAACCAGGTCAGTTTGCAGCCCCTGCCTAGTGCACAGCCTCACAAAAAGCAACTTCACCAGCACCTGCAAATCCAGTTTAGTCCCTGGAAAAATGTGAGTGGAACAGTGGTAGAGATCACACTTCAGGGTGGAGACTGCTCTCCCCAGACTAGCTGCAATTGTTGTGTAATGGTGCCAGTGAAGTTTGGGAACTCCCTCACATACCGGGAGGATTCACTTGATCGCAAGAGTTAATTTCACTTTCTGGCATCTACCATTCATCAGAAATTCCAGGACAGAGCTTTAAAAAGCAACTAGTGATTTAGGATCTCATGACTGCTGGACATTTAAGATTGAGGTACCTTGGCAGGTATGCTCGATGCTCCTCCCCAGACCTCCTCCTCATAACAGCCACCAGAACTGTGGGTCATTCCAGAAGCCCTAGGCTGTGATGTGGAGCCACCACTTGCCCAAGGTGAGTCACAAAAGCTCCTTCCACAGCACGTTTGCCAGCTGGCAACCAGTTGTGCAAATGCAATAGGGGACACAAGAAAACTGGAGAGTCTGCCATAGTGGGGTCACAAGAATCTCCTCCCCAGCTTGTGGAGTGGTACACAGGGGGCTGCATCTCCAGCTTCAGCTGTAGCAGCCACACAGAGGGGTCTCCTGCTCAGCCCAAGGTGATCTGAGCACAGTAACCGGGAGGGCTTGTGCAGGACACTCTGGCAGTTCAGTACTTCTGCACAGCTTGCACTGGCTCCTGTTTTGGACACGCTTTGGACAAGACTGGGCTTTCTTTGTGAGACCCTGCAGAGAGCTCCTGCAGAGAAGACCTGGGTAAGCAGCTCCAAGAGCTTTCCATCCAGCAAGACTGAGCCTATCTAGCTGGGTGATGCTGCTAGAGGAGTGAATTCAGGGAAGTCTGGCAACTGTATCTTACAGCTAAAGGTCCTCAGTTAAGCTATAAAAAAGCATCCTACCTTTCCTGAACCCATCTTGAACTCTGCCCTACACCAATCCCTAGCAAAATGGTACCTGCATCCGTTCCACCCAGGCATACAATCAAATGGTGAGTCAGTTCACTTATTCATGCATTTATTACCCAGATAACTCTCTATTAAGCTAATGAGTCATTCTTTTCCACCCACCAAACACATAGCTAGGATGCTGCTTATTTCTGCTATTCATAAACTAGAAGTAGAACAGAGCCTTGTATCAGAAAATTTATCTTCTCTAGAGAAGCTCTTCAAAGAACATATAGTTTGATCTGTGTGTGCTTTGACAAGCTTTGTGGATCTCCACAGAGTCCCATTCAGCACATTTAGTGAAAGCAGGGGTATGACTTTCCTGCACATATTCTTTTGAACTTGAACCTTGGCTGTTGTTTAAAGGCAAGTGGACCCTGGCTGGAGGAGGGAGGAAACTGCTGGTGAGATAAGTAAGGCTGCTTCTCCAAGATGAGTGGACAACTTGATTCCAGGCATCAGTGAATTTCAAGCAGGCCAGGAGATGAAAAGTTAGCTATACATACGCACAATCCATGCAAGCTTCTCTGACACAGCAGACTTAGAATTGCCATTTCTTGCTAGTTTGGCAATAGTTTGAACATTCCCTAAGACTCCAGAATATGGGCATTTCTGAATGAGGCATAAGTCTATTTTTCCCTCAAACAGGTTTTGTTCCCTCAGGGCTGTGGACAAAAAAATTGAAAACACAACTCGGTGCATCCAACAAGCAGAGGAATCAGTGGGCAAATAAGAAAGTGCCTGTAATACATATTTTTGTGAGAGTAATACATTTTCTCTGCAGTATCAAGGTTATGAGGCCCAGTCATTTATTTTTCACATGCTTGATGTGCTCTATAAAGTATAGCTGTATTTGAACACTCTTCTGATCACTTTCAGCTGTGCTTTGCTGCTGAGATGAGCTGCCTGAGCCTTACAAATAAAACAGTGTCTTGATGTCCGAAAGAAAGGTGATGGGAAAAGTTTGTCTGACTTTCTCTCTGGTTTGTGTTGCTGACACAGGTCAGGAGTGTTAAACCAGACCATAGTTCTACAGTAACCTTTCATCCTGCTGGACCAGTGGGTGCCCTTAGCCAGTGAGCCGACAACTGCGTAAGTGAAGAGCCAACCAGTTCAGCTATTTAGGCTGAAACCTCCTGATCAGAGCCACAATGAAGAAAGGATGAGCTCAAGCTTTAGAAAGGATTTTCCATACGGTGTTCTTATTGCAACTCTTCTGTCTGTCCTTGTGCTGCCTGTTTGAAAGACTTGCTCCTCAAGGAGCGATGATCCCAGATTTTCTCCAGACTGGAGTCTGGACCCTGCATGCTCTTTGAGGAGCACTTGCACTGCCAGTTTTTATTTAGCGGAGCTGTACACAAACATCATATCCTTCAGCTCCCTGATGTGTTCTCGAATTTGGCCAGTTGTTAGAGGGGGACTGAGAGAGACACGTGCTGCACCGTAGCTAGGACTCATTTCCTCAGAAAAATAAGCTAAAGGCACTGCATGGTGCTGCAGCACGCTGGCAGGCCTGTAACTTCCCTGAGTAACAACAGGTTTCTGTACCACAAAGCACTTGGGCACACCAACTTTAGCAGTTTCCTCTTCAAACAGGGGAGGGAGATGTGGAAGGGTGGTCTTCATGATCACATCCTCATGGCTCCTCTTTGCCTCTGGAAGTCCAGACTCTTCACTGGACTCCGACAGTTTTTGCAAATATTCTTTGTTTATTTTTCTAAATAACTATAGTTATTTTCTAAACTATATGGCCTTAAGGTCCTTTCCAACCCTAACCATTCTATGGTTCTATTCCATCCCTGGCAGTATTCAAGGCCAGGCTAGACAGGGCTTTGAACAGCCTGGTCTAGTGGACGGTGTCCCTGCCTATGGCAGCGGGTTGGAACTAGATGATAAGGTCCTTTCCAACCTGTTCTGTGATTCTGTTTTATGATTCTAACTACGCACATTTTTATATTATGAGCTTTTCAGGCTCAAAGCTTTTGCTAGTTCCCAGAACTTGCAGATGACCCCAAGCCTCCCATCTTTGCTAAGAAAACAAGCTCTTCTCACATCTGTTCAAAAATATTGACCAATATTAAGGAACATACTCCCCTCATTTCAGAGGCAGTTACTGGAATGTGCTTGGTATTCAGATGATAACTTCTGTCTGTAGGAACTTGCTGAGTGATGTCTTGAATCACACTTCGATAAAGTGATGTGTTTGAAGTCTGTCAGCCCCTTCTCAGTGCTGTCACTCAGGGTTCCCCAGCCTTGCCTCTGTCAGCAGGTATCAGAGTAGGGTCCCACTCAACTAAACCTAAAACCAGCCGATTATTGATTAAAAACACAGACTGGAGAAAAGCAAGGAAAATGGTCTTTTCATGGACAAGTTCGCTTAATACGGACAGCAACAGTGGGCTTTCCTCTGGTGAATGTCAGCTGAGGAGCAAGACCCTTCCAGCCAGGCTTTGCACAGACCACACCATGTGATTTTAAGGGTGTTGGCTTCTCTTGTTTCGAGGCTATCTATCTCCTACATAAATGGGGTTTAATTGCTCCTTCCATCAAGCCTGACAGAAGAGTGCTAACACACCCAATGGCTGTGAGCAGGCCTGTGACTGTCTGCAGATCAAAGCCTATCATACCTCACGGCAGCAACCATGAGCACATTCCAGGCTAACCTGGAATCTCCTGAGAGGCCTGCGAAAGGCACAAGAGCACCCTGTAGCCTTGCAGTGCTCCCCACCCACTGCTGCCTTCCATTAATTAATTAACTCTGCAGCTTTGTTCCCTTATCAACATCCTCCCAGCAACAGCACAATAAATTGTACTTGCAACAGATGATGCTTAAATGAGATGATCCCAGGTCTTTGCAGCTTGAAACAAGGGTGGGAAACTCATAGCTTTGTGGTGTCTCCAATTGTTTCATTATACAATCAGATCTTAATTGCTGTAAGAATATGATTCTAGTAAATCCGGCCTCTAGTACCACTCATGTTAAAGACTTCACTTGCTAAGTCTCCACTGCTATACACAGTCAGACTAGCCCTTGTGGGTTTTTTTACTTCAGTGGGCTTTAAGGTATTGAATTATCTGTAGAACTAACGCTGTGTTCACCCACCCTGTATTTACCCACTGAGCGGACAGGCAGTGAACTTCAGTTAGCTGTTTGAGATAGTGAAAGAGAAGGCATTTCTATAGGGAAATTAATTTGAAATGAGGTAACAAAAATAATCCAGATGAATCACCAACTGGAGATGTTCCTGCTGGCTGAAAGAGAGGATAGGCATGAGATGCTTAACTTGACTACAATAAAGCACACCTTATGTGCACAGAATCATAGAAACCTGAGTATGATAATAACCAGAAGGCTGCTTCAGGGTAACATTTGATGTGAGAAGTGTGAGGGAACTAATTCCTCGTCCTAACAGTGGGAAAAGAGCCTCCAAGTGGGGAGATCAGTACCATCTGCCTGACTGGTATAAAGTGGTATGAGAATGTGAGGGACAGAAAGGGAAATCTGCACATTTCAGCACTTAATGATCTGCATGACCACATCAGGCAGCACACAGCTCTGAGAAGGCACTTCCCAAGCAGAATGAATTCCTCAGAGTTAGAAACTCATCTGGAAGGACTGGAGACACAGGAATTATTCTGTGTCTCTGTGTGTACTGATAGGGATCAATGAGAGCTCCTGGGGACCAGATGCTTTTCTCTCAATTGAGAGGGGGGAAAAATCCTCTTCTTTTCTGATCCTTTCAAACTGTCAAGCAACACTTTAGCCAGACCATCAGCATTTGAGGCTCAGGAGTGTTCACCTGCCCTGCTCTGCAGTTGGCTTCCTCATTGTTTTATCTGGGCGTAACTCTCAGCAGCAGTGGGAGCCCTGTGTTATGAACAGGTACTACAGAGTAACATCCTTGGGGTGGTTCTCAAGATGATTCCTCCTGAGGAACACAGCTTGGTTTGAATCATGATAAGAGGCAAGACTGCATCAAGCAAACTCATGCCGAAGTCCTTCCATCCAAATGAAATGTGTCCAAATATAAACACAATTCAAGAGATGGATGCTGCTTGTGAAAAATTCCAGTCCAGGTGTCCTGCAGAATCCTGCACTGACTGGAATTTTCCCCTGGAGCACTGTGCTGCCTGCTTGCCCGCTTAGGAACCTCAGAGGCATGATGGGGTGGGTGTCCATAGCGGCAGCTCTGGTGACTCAGCAGGTGGCAGCCTTCACCTGGACTTTGCAAGGAGTTGTCACCTTGAGGAAGGTGAAGGGATGGCTGAGGAGGAAGCCACCCCTCTGCTGGCACAGAGTGCAGAGTCTGGATGTTGCTAGCTGTCAGACTTTACTCCAGGTGTGAAGAAACCCATGACAATGTGCTGGAAGAACTGATCTCCTGGACAACAAGCGGCCTTTCTTTTGGCACCAAGAGGTACCGCTAGCATCTCTGGCTCCAGTACACTCCAAAGGATCTTTATGCAGAACCCATGCAATTGAAAAGACAAACTGAGTTTGGCACTTTGGAAGAGGTTTGGATCAACAGAATCACTGCTCCTTTGTATGGTAAGCAGGAATAGGGAGCAGTATAGTTTTTCCTAGTTTTTTTGAGTGAAAATTTGCTGCAGGGGTGAAAATCAAGCCTGTTAGAGCTGTGTTTTGGGAGAGGGACAGTTTGGGGAGCAAATAGAACCTAGCAAAGCTTTATATGGAATGCAACTCACATGCTCATGAAGAGGGGA